ATGTAATGGTCTATTTATAGACAGTGTGGGTATATATAGGGGAGTTGTTCAGCACTGAGATCAGATCGGAGATCTCGTTGAATTGTGTTGGAGTTTAAGTATCTAGTTATTGGAGGTTTGGAGTTTTACCGAGTTATTGTACTTGATGTTTGCAGAGTATAATAATACCAGTACCAGTTGAAACCTCATCTGTTGACTCCGTGTTCGTATGTTATCATCGCCGCCAGGGAAGTCTTTAAGTTACTGTTGCCATTTTGGTATTTGAACCATCACACCTGTACTATACCAATTACGGTAATATTACGCTGCGTGTGACACCCATTTAGTGATTGCAATATGTATGTAATAGAAACCGCACCCCGAACTTGAGCTGTTGATCAAAATTTTTTATTTGATACATTGTAATATAAACCGCGGTTTATATTAGAATTTTAACGGTACGTATTGACGGTGATAGTTAAGTCCTGAATGACGGTAAATACTTCATTCCATTTTCAGTTCACCTCACAAAAATTGCTAATAATCAATTCCAACAAATAGTATTTTGCCATCAATATTTTACTTCCGCATTGTGTTGCCAGAATGCCTTCAGGAATTTCCGGAGAATTGCGTTGGTACAACACTGCATTCTAATTGGTTAACAACAGACATGACCATTAGGTCAAAGGACGTTGTTGCAGGTCAAATCGTGCGAGAAAACATCATGGCAGAAATTACTTTGCATCGAGATTTTGCTTACAATCAAAAATATTCAATGAATCATCATTTTATCACAGACCTTAATAATTTTTCACCGTAAATTCTGACGGTATGTAACCGGTAACTAATATTGTAATAAAATGTGCGCATTTATTTCGTCATTGTAAATGGGTTGTGGAAATCACAATTGAAATGAAAATTAAAATTCACAATTTGAATTTCACCAAATCTGACACATGGTGGTGGTCTTTTGGTCAATTTTTCGAGTGGATTGCTTGACTAAGTACCCACCAACCTAAAAGACACCATTTTGTAAGCTGACTACTTAACATTAAGTTGGGCGAGTAAGTACATACCTCCCATTTCTGAATATTCATCATCATCTAATGGACCTGCATGGGGAGTTTCCCCTTTTTTTAAACATTCGTGAATATAAGCAGCTTTCCATCTTCCATATTTTCTTTGTTTCATAATCTACAAATAATTAATAAATAAATAAATACAAAAATACCAACTGAAGGTGTTGCACAGAAATATCTCCGCTGTTAGCAAGGCACATTTCAATTAAAGAACTGAAGATATCATTAGAAAATGAACAATATGTATAGTATGTATAGCAATCAGACTTGCTGTTTTCAACAAGAATTCAAAAATATCACTTTTTACCAAAAAAATAATCATTAAAATTAGATTAAATCTGAGAGAGGTTTACCTGAGGTACCTATATGTATAGTACCGGTATCAAAGCAATCAGACTTGCGGTTTTTAACAAGAAGTCAAAAATATCACTTTTTACCAAAAAAATAATCATTAAAATTAGAGAATTGAAGATATCATCATCAAATGAACAAATCTGAGAGAGGTCCACATGTAGTACCTACATATATAATGGCAAAGCAATCAGACTTGCAGTTTTCAACAAGAAGTCGAAAATATCACTTTTTACCAAAAACTACAAAAATATTCATCAAAATAAGAGAATTAAAGATATCATCACAAAATGAACAAATCTGAGAGAGGTCCACATGTAGTACCTATATATGTAAAATCAACGACGACGGCCAATCAGTAATAAGAACAGCTCCGCTGTGACGACTTTGTCGACAGCAGAGCTAAAAATGATGCGTACACATAATAAAGTGATGCAAACACAAATACTGATGACAGGATCACACAATCTACAGACAAGTACACATAAACTAATGATGCATGCACAAATTCCACAATACTTACATCTTCACTGAGTTCCCCAAATGTTTGTAGAACATCAAATAACAAACTAGCTTTATAATAAGTTTTAACAACATTTCTGCCAAAAGGATAAGAAAAGCATGATATAACGTATGATTTGATATCAAAGATTTTTATATGTCAAATGGATACACTATCCTTGAACAAAGTATTGTCGCTATATAGGCACATACAATGTATCTAAATTAGGCAAATATTTCAAAAAGTGGTTGACAACAGTCACTTAAAGACATAATCTGCGTTATTTATCAACTTTATTTTTTGTTATCCATGTAAAACTGAGCCAACATGACATTTGTGATGACAGATGAACATACTTGGGGAAAAAATAATGCTAGAAATGTTCCATGCATATGCATACATTACATAGAATGTTCAATGGGAAATGCATACCATATTTGTTCTATTAGTAAGGTATGAACTTACATACAGGTGTTTATAATACAGATCATGAATAACTTAACATGTAGCTAGGTGGTCTAAAACTACCTCAACTTGCTTTCAAATATATCTACTGTTCTAAGCATTAAAATAAATAAAATAAAATAAAATCCAAATTGCAAATCTAGAGTTGCTGAGTGACACATGGAGCTGAATTCCGCTTCCAACCAACACATTGGAATTCAATACCACACACCGTAATACTTACTTATTAAATCTTCCCGATCTGTCTTCATTATCAGCAAACAGAAATAACCTAAGTGCATAGTTTTCTACATGTGCCTGCCCTACCACTTCACTGTGAATCGATTCATTATCTTTCAATTCTTTTTTAGACTGCAAAAAAAAAAAAAAAAAAAAATCTGAATTCTACTTTTGTCATCTCTAACAAATAGATGAAGCCTTCGGTCAATGTACAACATAACAATTTGAAAAAAAAGACTGTTGAACTCTTTTACTGGTTACTTTTACTGATACTGGAGATCTTTGGATTGTCCCAGCGCAATAATAACCATGAAAAATGATCCATGTTATAAAATGTACTTAGCAATGTATTTACTACAATTTATTTGGTCACCTGGTTTCAATATACATTACAATGAGAGGAAAACAATTTGACTGTGAGTGAAGAATGAAGTTTCAATTTGGCCATGTGTACATACCGCCTCCAAACAACCCATTAGTGCCATTAGATATTGCCTGGCGTCTGGTGATTTACTGTCTATCTTCATGCCTTCATCCATTGCATAACGACGACCTGTATGTCAACAATACATCATAGAAAAGGTCATTAACTTTTTGAGATACCATGTTTCATTGAAATATGATTAGTACTTGAGATATCAGTGGAAAAGCCAAAATTTGACTAATCATTATGCAAATTAGGTAATTGATGTGCATGGACTTTTACCCACACCTGTGCATTGTCTCAGTACATCTAAGTACCAAGTTTTATCAAAATCCAATGAGTAGTTCTTTAGATATCAGTGGATCAGTCGTGAAACAGCTAAATTAATATGCATAGATTTAACTCAAAACCTAATGTCATGAAATCTCAAAATACATAGTACCGAAAATTAATAATGGTTTTAGTATTTCAAACAATATAGCATCAATTAATTAGAATTACCAGTTAAATTGGTTAAATTGCACATACTGAATGGCAAAGCTGAATTTCCGAGTCCTTTCAACAAGGTGATATTGCATTTCATGGTAGAGCTAGAAACAGCAGCATGGATGCCCAGATACACAAGCGTGCAACAGCCTGGCACTTGAAATCCCTTTCAAAAACTGAGTTATAACTTGTACTTCACAACATGTGTGCGTGTGTACGGTTCCTAATTTACTTGCTTTCCACAAATCACCAAATTAAGTCTCAAACTATATCCACTACAATAATGCAATTGTGCTGGGATAATAGCGTGGATTGAAGACAGTAAGCAAGGAGAATTAAATTAAACACGGCTTAAAGATTAAAAATTGAAGTACTGTAAAATAAGGCTTAACAGTGGATAGTCTATGAAAACACAAGGTCACTGTATTCCCAATAGGGATCGTGTACTTTACTGAATGTCCCCCGAGAAAGACACAAACTAAAGTCACTGGTCACGCTGAGAAGACACAAAGTTCAATTTAATTACTACACCATGATTAATCTATCAGTCAATGCATGGACAAATTTGGTCCCGATGATCTTCTATTTTATATGACAAAGCAGTTTGAAATCCAACATGCGTCCACAGAAGTAATATAAAGTGAGCCAAGTGAAGTGCATATACTGTGATTTGCAACATGTGTGTTTCAAGGCTGCGAATCACTGGGATAAAATGTCCCTCCCTTCAGTTGTCTAAGACCATATGTGTCAAGTGTTCTGATTAGAGTAACAGGGTGCATCGCCCTCTAGGGATTTGAGAGCGCCCTCCTGTGCCAGAAAGACAAATACTAAATTTACCAAAAATAGTTGACAAACGCCTCCACATACATTACACATGGTTCAGGGCTCAACATAAACAGCATATGAATACCATATTAAGTCATTTGGATACCATTTCCCGATATTAATTACAAACGACTGAATATTTAAAAAAAATTACTGTTAATTACTTTACTTTTACTTGGAATTCATTTTTGCTATTTTTCCCCTGAAGGAATAAATTAATCAGTGAAAATAAAAATACAAAACAAATGATTTTTCAGTGAAAATAAATTTCAGTCAAAATAAAGAATTTTACAGTAATATGTTTGAAAATGAAGGGCAATTTGTCTGAAAATATATATGGGTGTTCTACACAAATTTCATTCATTTGTGTTGAAACTTTATAGCCACGACCAGCAAAACTTGAAGGACCAACATTATCGTGGGACCAGCAGCTTTTCGACCAGATCTCACTTTTATTATTTTTTCTATACCCCTATGATGAAAATCCTTGGGGAGAATGCAGTATATGTACAATATGGGATAGCGTGCTTCACATAGAAAATAAATATCCTTGTTACGTGAGACTGACCTGACCCACTTCTTATGAAGTTGCACGGTCTGTTGTTGCCCACAACGACCACCGGCAGAATCAGCACACAACATAAAAGTCACTTTCAAAACGCTTAATTAAATAAAAATAAAAATAAACAAATAATATCAACAAAAATTGAAGTTTGAACAAACAACCACTTCCAAATATAATTTTGTAGAAAAGTTTAATTTGGTTGGGTAAATTTGGTTTAAGTTGTAGGAAAAGTCAAAAACTTGTTGGGTTTAATCTGAAACATGATTGTGAACTGTACTGTGTTGCATTTATTGTAACTGAATTGTGCTATGTTTGATTACTGGAGATTGTCCAGCGGTCTATCAGAAGGATCTAGAAATTGAAAAAAAATGTAAAATTTTGAGTAATAACCATAGCTCTCATTTTGCTATATGAATCTATTTAACTGGGATTAATCGACCGCTTAGATTCAAGCAGAACCAGTACCAGTTAACATCTTTCTAGTAAAACACATCAAAATTTAAACACGTAAGAAGCATAAATCTCAGCAAATTAAAGCAATATCTATTGTTTATTTAAGGTGTTAAGTGGTTTTTCAGAGGTTTTATACAATTTATTATTTGAAGATTAGCCAAAGACTTACAGAAATTAAATTTCGAGACATTGATACAAGGATGCAAATTTGGGTGAGTCATATTGCTAAGAATGCTTATACTTGGTGTGCATGAATAACTAAAGCAAAGTTATATCCCGGTATTTATTATGATTTTGACTTTAGAAAGTTTACGAACGTTTTGTAAGTGTAATAAAAACCTTTCCGGGAAAACAATCATTCTTATTGATTCACACCTTAGTGTGCACAGGTTTTATATTTAATAATTATTAATAAAATCATAAAAATATTTTAACAGGAGGATGTATAATCTGATCTGACCCGGTGGATTATCAAGGAATTTAGGTAGTGTCTGTTAATTAATATTTGGATTAGAATATTGTGGTCATTAAGTACTGTACATTCACAAAACAAAATACAGTTCACCCATGAGAAAGTAGTTTGATTTCATTGCTGACATAAAATGTAACTTCATCACCTAATTTGTTTCAATTAATAGTACAGGCATGAGGTCAAATATATCGTCTATGGGAATTCTATAGGAGGTCGTCTACCTATAGCGGGCAATAAATGATGCGTATTCAATCCAGTCAACATGATACTAATTAGCTTCACGAGTTACTGTAAAACAACACTAACATCAATCAGGTAACAAAGAGAAAGCCGTCACACCATAACAAGGTACGAGTTCACAAGAACTTATAGGTTTCATCTAGCTGTTGACCCAGACGAAAATTCTCATTGTCCGAGGTTATGAAAATAACTGGTTACTCTGGCAACTTAGAGAATTGCATCATAAACTTGTCAGAACTGTGGAAATAAGGATACTGGTGGAAACTGATATTGAGTAAACAAGGTCCGAAAATGCCATCAACTGTGAAATAAGCAGTAGTGCGGATAAACTTGGATGAACTGGCATGGAACTAGGCATGGCTGGAAGCGAGTTGAAAATGAGTGCGCTGTCAAAGTTTAAAAAGGCGATCCAAGTAGTCAGGTAGGTCGCTTTTGATATTTACAACACTGAGCAAAAACTATAATTATCCCAACAAAAATAATGCTAATTTTTTTAGGTTTGGAAGAATTCTCCATGGAGACAATTCAAGAGAAAACAAACACATTTTGTGAAAAGCGACCAACTGTTATATTATGTACTCCTGTGTAACCAAATATTTTCAATTAAACACACACCAGCAGTGAGTTGCTTAAATCAATAATCAAGCACAGTTTGAGAGAAAGAGTGTACATAATGGTCTGCAGTAGCCTCAGGCTCACTGCATAGATGTAACACTGTGAACAGCGATACCTAATGCTTAGTTACACACTGTTGAGCTAAGGCTTACACTGCCTAATGTGAGAACTGGCCGAGATGAGATGAGACGTCAAAGTTTAACTTTTTTCCAGTGAGTAAACATTTATTACATTATTCCAGTCTGGTGTAGTGATAGAACATCACACAGACATCAAAGGGAACTTGCTCAAAGTTGTGGTGCTCTTATTTTATATATTATTCCCCACACACTAAGATAATATTATAAATTGAAACTGGGTGCTCTCTAAAGCCTTGGAAGACTATATATGCAGTTGTTAGTTGACATTCTTACAGTTCAAATATGCAAACTAGTTACACGGTTACTTCTCGTGGATCCCAATAAAAAGAAACTTTTTGCAGATTTTGTTAGTTGATTGGAGATTTACACTTACAACCAGGTCATTAATTATTCATTAATGATGACATTATTTAAATTGGCTAATCACATCACCAGATACAATCATGTACTTCCTATGTGTTAACTTCAAGGTTTTTTTTGTGAATCACTTCCCTACTTATAGCAGTAACTTAATGAGAGATTGCCCGTAAATGCCAAAAAAAAAAGAAAAAATTCTTGGTTCCCTTCTTCTAGATTAGTCAGCCATTTCCAATCAAAATCTATGTTAATCTAGCAAATAATTATGGCTGGCATTTTGATTGCTATAATTCACTATATTATGCCTACAAACTGAGAAAAATGTATATAATAATTAGGCTATCACAAGAATACTCAGGCCAGTACAGAATTTAGTCAACCTCTGCAATGCATCAGCCGATTCAATCACTGAACTTGTCTTCATTCATACCCTGTAGTATTTTCATAATAATGTAAAACAAGACAAACTTTTGTAAATTTTGAGAGTCATTAAAAATTGCCAAATTTTATAGCAGTAAAAATTCATCTGGGCTTCTTTGATATGGAATGTCAGTGACTTTTGTGAAATATTGTTTTCACAAAAACAATTCATTCTTGAAATTGTGAAAATTTCTTGCAATGCAAATCAAACAATTTACAGTAACATCAAAATACATGTATAGACACCTCTGTAAACTGAATCAGTTTTTAGACCCTTGGGTTTCTGGATTAGACAAATTTCATGATATTACAACCATATTTGAACAAATAATCGTATGAATTATGTCAATTTTCAAAACTGACTAACAAAGTATATGAAAATGAAGAGATTAGATTTTAACATTTGACATGTTTTGATATTTAGCAAATGGAACTTGAAATATTAATTGAAATAAACACAAAAGACTGACTTTTAAAATTTGTAATACAAACAATTCTTACACATCTTCTACTGTACCTAAGTAGTATTTCAGAATAAATTAATTTTATTATTTTACATATAAATTATAGGTAGTGTGCGTCAGTATATATTCTAGGAATCACATTCTAATTTCAAATATTAATAATAGTTTAATGGTCAAACTGTTCAACCTTGACATTACTCTCATCCACACAATATGATTCTTTAATGATCATTTCTAGAAGTTTTTATCTTTTCCCCAACCCTATAAACATGTGTGTCTGACTCATCAATGTAATGCTTATACATCTGACTTCCATGTGACATGCTCCCATGGCAACTAGGACTAATTATTCACTTTTTTATGTGTGTAGCTGTACTGTAAACTACAAGTAATATTGCTGACAATCCTGAGTGTAAACACAGCGGTAATGTTCCTTCATGGTGCACGGCACTGTAAGCTTTGAAATAGCTACATGCCATCGATGGCTAATTCAGCTCAATAAATTAATTAATAGGACAATTTGCTAACAATTTTAATACAAGAATACAGGACAGAAAGAGTACCTTAAGGCCCTCTCACCGCTAACCCTCACCTTAAGCCTGACAATTCAATATGCCCCTCCAAATAACTACACATGTATAAGTGACCTGAAAAAGGGTATATACAATTGAAATGGGGGAGAAGCACTGGAGGGTCATGGTTAGGATAAGAGTTATGAGTGAGGGGGCCATAAGGAACTCTTGCCTACAAGACGGCTAAAATAACATGCTAGATAAAAATACATATTAATACAACGTCTGTGTATCACGGGTTAACCACCGGACTCATGATATTATTTCGTACTGAAATGACCACACCCCCGTCTTACTCATGTACGTACGGTCGAAGTATTGTCGGAGCTGGTTTCACACAGTTTTTAGCTATGTTATAATACCATTATATCCGCTATATAATACAACTACAGATTATGAATGACAGGGTATCTCACAGTCTAATTAGATGATCAAGTGAGTTAGACCATGGTTAGAGATCCCGGGTTAGAGATAAAGTGTGTCGGTGTTACACAAGTCCACGCAAGTACCATTCACGACAGTCAACCTGTCTTCCTGTGAACATGTGCAGCATATTTGTGAAAGATTTGAGTTATGAGGTACAGTGAGGTCGTAATATGTATGTGTTTACAATATAAACACGCAAATATGTTGCCCACTGCTGATCGGATCAAAACATTCTTCAGTTGGTCACCGATCAACACACTGTCACTTGCAGAGGTTTCCGTCAGCAACTGTTTCACCCGAATGATCACATCATGGGAGTAATATTCTGGAATACTTTTAAGATTGGTACTCACAGTAATATGCGACGACGGGGTCCCGGGCTTCATGTTCTTTGCCTATGTCTACGTAGTGTCTAAGTGCTTTCAAAGAATTTGGCAACGGTGGAAGTTGCTTTGCGGACGCCATTTTGAAGTGCACATGCGCATTACTATGTAGTGACGTCACTATCTGTTCAGGTACACTTTACACGAATCATCATTGCGAATGTTGGTTCCGTATACCCTTGGCCCTATAAATAAATAATTAAATAAATAAATAAATAAATAAATAAATAAATAAATAAATAAATAAATAAATAAATAAATAAATAAATAAATAAACAAACAAACAAACAAACAAACAAACAAACAAACAAATAAATAAATAAATAAATAAATTAAATAAATAAAAATAGTACAGGAAGTACAAGTAATTGTGCAGATCGTTAAACAAGTCAAATGGCAAAGAACAGAGCGAAAAATGTTCAGTGGCGTTTTATTTTACGGTGATAAGAAAAATAATCGCAATGAAGAAAAAAGTAACGCGCCATAATTAGATTGTCGCACCGCATCGTTTCGGCGTTCGATGGATGTGGGACCCATGTGATATCACAACGCGTGTAAAGTCACGTGATATTTGTTTAATAACACGGAATTCGAACGCGCAATGAGAAAACAGACGTCTCGCTGTTTGTAGGTGGACTTTGTTGAGAAGTTACAGAGAGAATGTCTGTGTGGATACTTTTGTCAAAACAAATCCGCCAAATCGATTAAGAAAAAAATTACTAGTACAAAACATGGCCAAAACAGTATGACTAATGATGATAAAAAAAAGTTGAAGACAAGAGCAGGCCATGACAATTCAAATGTTTTCTTGAGAATGTCATGTTTTTGTAGGATTTATATTTAGCTTTTTACGTTGAACAGGTCTGTGTTTCTTCATTGGTGTATTATTTCTACCCGGTAAGTCATGTGACAATACGTCAGTATATCCTTTGCATTTCTGGTGACATGTTTTACTAAGGGATTCGTCAGTTACTTCGGCCTATGGGGGTCGGTGGATCAGGGTTACCCTGTTATTGATATCATGAATAGGGAGTCACCATGTTTTCCAGAATTCACACACGCGCTCATGCATATATTTTTCAAAATTTTATTTCAGAACAAAAGATAAAAAAATTTAATCGTATAAATGTGTTCTTAATAATAACTATTACCTATATTGTCTATAAATGCGGCTTGAACCCCAATTATACAGTTAAGTTTTAAACACAGTCCATGTGCTGCTAATATCAGATTATTTTATTTAAAGTCTGAAGTCACCATTGTATAAGATATTTACTCGATTTATCCAATTATAACAGGAGACGGAAAGACAACACAACAATTAGTATAAAGAGCAGTGACAGTTTTTGTTCAGCAAGTTAAATTTGCGATAATGCTGATACATAAATTAAAATAAATGATGAAAGAATAAATAAATAGTTTTGTTTTTGTTTTTTTAACTTTTAAATATGCATATTTTGCTCTGTAAAATACCAAAATCCAACACAAATTTAAGCAAAAATCAAAGTTTCCTTTGTTTCCATAAGCAAAGACTATGCTTCGGGTGTAAAGCATTCCTGGTCTATAAGATATGGAAGATATTTTAAATCCAAATTAGTTTTCAAAGAGTTCAAACCGCCTAGATTCAAATCCTCTTTTCCTATCTTATTGACGGGTGTTTAACAAATGAGTACTCCACAGCCTTGCTTTTATTTACTATCTTTAGCAGCATAGATGTTCCTCCTTCCTGCAGCCTTTTCTGTAGTCGTTTTTGGCTTTAAGCTTCCCCTACCCTCCTAAGGTCTATTAAATGCAAAAATATGGCAAACCATGATATTTTCAATGCACATATAATACATTTTGTAATCATATCAGAGCCAAAACTGTTTATGTTTCTGTGTTTTTCAGAGGAGGTCAGCATGTTTTAAAATATAATGTTAGGGTGGGTCACCCACTTTTTTTTATTTGATAGAGGGTGGGTCAACTGGGATTTACAGCGGGCAAAATGGAATCTGCCGACCCCCCTAGGCCGAAGTAACTGACCAATCCCTAAATCATGTTCTCATTATTGAGAATTTTTTTCATTATTATTAATATAATAAAATAACAATACAAACAAAACGGGTAAAGAATTATAAACCGACAAAATAAAAAAATATATGTTTTGAGAAAACATGCGACAAAACACCGTCCTCTTTGTTGAGGGTCGGTGAACAGAACTACATGCGGCGACAACTTGAATGTTCGTATTACACAGCGCCCTCGCGTGACGGAAAAGATATAACATGACTGTCGTATTTGTTTAATAAAAGAGGAATCCAATATTTCTTTATTTTAAATGACAAAATATTTTTGATTTATTGCTATATTTTATTCGAGTTAGTTGTATACTATTTGACGTTTTTTCCGCCCTTTGTTTTTATAATGTATTAGTTTTACGTCGAGTGTCCAAGAAAAGAATAGCATTTTGTTAATTGTGTTGTCCTCGACGAATCAAGTTTAACTAAAAAAAATAATATTTAAAGTTGCATTCCCACATATATGCCAAACTTATCATTGTGATCACAAGGGTACAAGGAATACAATCAGTTGATTTGGCGATAAATACTGGAATATTGAGCCCCATTGCTCGCCTGCACTGAAAGTAAAAAACAAACATAATTTTCATTGTGATAACAACCCAAGGTCATATGCACAATTTTAATTTTATTAGAGGGTATTTTTAAATTCGATTCGGGAATTCATTGCTTACATGGGGGTAGTGACAGATTTTCTACAGATCACAAGGTGGAATTGCAACTTTAAAATTGTCCATTCTACTCAACCACATTATACTTATCATAAAAACATGCATTTACAACAGAAAGCTAAAAAAAAGTTATACCAAATTTTAACATAGCTATAGCAGAGGTGAGATACAATAAAAAGTATGAATTACTACTTTCAATCAGAAAGGGCACAACAAGAATTTTTTGGAAGAAATGGAATAATTTTCAAGTGTAACAATACAGGCACTGAAATTTGCAATTGATCAATTAGATTGTAACTTATTGAATTATACTACTACAAAAATGGATATTATTGGGCAAGTTCAACATATTTTATAATTATTTTTTTTTATTTCCATTACTTGTGTATTAATCTTTATACTCTTTGTGGGAGATGCAAGAGAAAAATAAGAAAAAAAAAAAAACTTTAAAGTTTTCAGGAAAACTAAACCCATGTTGGGGAATTTTGAAATGGCACAAGTGTAAGAAATTTGTCAGGGAAAAGGTAACCGCGTCAGTGACACAGCCCAGCACATATTTGTAGTGCCTCGGAGATTTCACTAAATTGCTAAATTGAGATGCTGATAATTCGGTAAGATGTCGAGTCATTAAATATATTGTCATTACTACTTTTATTAATTTCACACAGTACAGTCAACCACAAATAACATTTTGTTAATCACTGTGTCAACTTCATATGGATAAAATAACGTCATGCATAGTCGTCGTGGTGCGCCGTGTTCGACATTCTGACGCATACAACGCGTACGTTGTACGCGTCACTAGAATTTGAAGCCGAGTCAATAACACCATGAAAATTACTAAAATAAATTTAAAAAAATACCTGCAATTTGCAGAAAAATAAAAAAATACAACAAGCATATTAAAAAGGAAGAGGACGACCAATCGATGACAATTATATTTAGCTCCTTCAAAGTCTTCGCAATTCGAAAGTTCAAACTTAAGAGCAACTACAGAAATTGATGGGTAGTTATGAAGACATTAGCATAGCACAGATATTTGCATAATGTAGGTGGTCATTATGCCGAGACCTGAAGACGTGGGTCACAAATACATCGGTATGGGCTCTTTGACATCGTATTGTAACTGACCTTATACTTAACGCCGTCGGCACTAGTATAATCATATTATACGTGTACTGTCTGTGTCGCTCTATAATAAAACTAAATAAAATGTCAATAAAACATAGCGGACTTAGGCTTGAACTAATTAAGTAATCAATACAAAATCACCGGGCGTTGATATTATTTCCATCTGGTAGGAAACTCGAACCGTGAGCGAGTACTACTGATCTCGCTAGCTTGCTCATTTAGAAATGTGTACATCCGAGTTGAACTTGAAAATGAACATCAAGTTTCGATAACCGAGCGTCAACATGCGTACTTGTATCTATATTTAAACAACACGAAATGGAAAAAGTAAATATCGAACAAATATTCATACAATTCGTTACCGATATATTTAGGATTTGATTTGATTTTTAGAAGGTGTAAAACGCAACTCGTCACGTTTTTACAGTTGACATCATGACGTCATTAGACCAAATTTTAATACTATCTGTAGAGGTTAAACTCGTGGTATAATATCGTGGCAAACATTCAATAAATAACGTTCGCCGGAAATAGTAAAACAAAATATCAGCTAAACTGTTTCAGCATTATTCTACCGTTACTCAAATGATAATATTTCGACATTGTAATATGTCCACAGTGAAGATTCTTGATATCTACTAGTTTATACAAATATAATATTATGTGCAACGCGGAGACAGACTCGGTTCCGGCTTCTTCGCAATGTACATGACCACGCTATGGTACGTGGAATCGTTCTCCGAGCTGCTTTACGGCATCTAAACAATCTATGCTCACGGTCACATATGAACCTGAACTACATGCCACTCGAATGTTTGTCTCACAATCGAATGAAATAAACTAATCCGTTTAAGTATTGGTGTTTATTGTGTATCTTAGCAACCAATAGTGCATTATTCACGCTTCAACGTTAATCAATGTTAAATGAGCTTTTTGGCCGAGAAAACATCTTTGTCCATGGGCACAAAATATTTGACCTTTTGCGGGACAAGATAAAACGTATATCATAGAACGCACTCAGCTTTAAACAAAGCTTTCTTCTTTCGATTGTACGGTTTATTTTATAGTGGAACATTCATAGCTGATATAATAGGCACTGCTTACATTACACACACGATATCGTAGTTACCAGATTCCAGCGAGGGCAGTTCTTTCTGATTTCAGCTTTACAAAAAAAAAAAGCACATACAACCGTGACAGACGGCATGAAAATACGGCAAACCAAGAATTGATTGAAGTTTAA